CCAACCAACTCTCCAAGCAATATAGCTAAATTCCAACATGTAGTTTTTAGTCTCTAACTTTTGATATTGACTTTCTTTCATTCTGTCTCCGAGTCCAATCATCCTCTCCTCCCCCTTGTCAAAGGTTTCCTCCAGGCTTTTAATCTCTTCTTTGCAGCCTGGAAGCTGATTTCAGCCTCACGACTAAGAGTGCAACATGGAGCAAGCACGGTACTGGATGTGGACAAGGAGGAGACATGGTTTGAGTTCTCATCTTCAAGCATCAACAAACGGAGCATATGATGATTCGTGGGAAGAGCAAGCTTTTGCAGAAGATGCTGCTGGGTCCCTAGGAGGGTGTATATGGCCTCCGAGGTCTTATTCTTGCAGCTTTTGTGGCAGAGAATTTAGATCAGCTCAAGCTCTAGGAGGTCACATGAATGTCCACAGGAGGGATAGAGCTAGGCTAAAACAATCTCCAAGTCCCCATGGTGAAACTCTTCATCATCATGATCATCGAAATAGTCAGAGTCACATTCAAAATCCCTTTTTACCTATGGGTTTTCAATACCAACCTGATGAGGTTTGTAACTTTGTTTATAACCCTAACCCTAATTCTGATCATGGTACTCTTCCATCACCTTCCTCCTCTTCTAGAGTCTCACCTCCACCTACTAAAGAGAACTGTCCTGGAAAAATCTTAATTTCTACTTTCTCTTCACCAATTGTCCAAGAACGCCCCAAGACGAAGTCCCCTGACTCATCCCCCAAATCATGGTCAAACTTGGTTGCAGACAGATATTACCATTTCTCTGATCTAAGTACTGAAGGAGAGAAGAGTCCAAGAATCCTAGAATCCGGATGTCAGCTTAAAGCTGATTATGTCCAAACTGATATGTCTGTAAGCTTGAATTTAGTTGTTCGACGAGCACGCCCTACTACATCTGGTAGTAGAGAAGAGACTGTTGGTTGCAAGAGAAAGAGAACTGAGACACCAACATTACCATTCTTCCTGAAGCCGATTTCAATTGAAAGACATCATCTCCAACCAGCTGACCTACCTGAGCTTCGCCCTAGCTCAGTGGATGACATAGATCTTGAGCTAAGACTTGGTGTCCGCCCCAAGGTAAAGTAGTTTGTCTGGAAGGCCATACTTAAATGGACATATAAGTGCCCTTTCTTCAGTCATATGTTGTGTCTGTAACCTCATCATTTCCATTTGATATTCTTCCTTTTCCTCCAGATGTCAAGGCCTCTTTGCTTTGAGTTTGATGAATTATCCTCTCTCTGAATCTTTATGACCTCAAAAGGTGTAACAAAAATTACCTATATGAATATCCTAGACGAAGATGAAAATTGAAAAAAAATACTCATTTCTTGATAGAAAGACTATCACCACCACGCAAAAATGATCTCCCCTTGCCCTTGACGGTATTGTTAAGATACAGCATGGACAATATAGTTGGTTCAATCGATTATTGCAATGATATTTGTATTATGTTTAATAATGAAGCCAAGGTCGATAACATCCATGTCTCTCTCCACCGTAGTAATTTTATGACTTCTTGAATTATTTTCAGTTGTACAAAGAAGCTTAAACCTTCTTACATTATCAACCAATCTATATAACTGCTGCTAACTATGGTTTAGGGTTTCACAGGTCAAATACATCTATGTTGAATGAATCCATCCTCATCTTACTGGCTTCAATCATCTATGTTCTAATTTGGATTAAGATTTCACGTAGGCCTGATATCCATCGATGCATATGTTTTCCAACTCTAATCTGCTGCATGTCTAGAGAGATTGTAAAGGATCCCAGCTCATTCATGTTGAGAATTCAATCCTAGATGGAATGCTTTTGATGTAATTGTCTGGGTTCTGAGAGAGATAAATGGGAATTAGTTAAAGAAAGAAATCTTAGGTAGCTGGTATAAGCTTGGAGCTGTATGCGACTATGCGTGAAGTGAGAAGGGTGCTCGAAAGAAACTGACTAAAACTGCATGGAATATCGTGAGCTCTTTTTCCCATTCAGTACCTCACTGACATTCCATCAGAGATACACAAAACTAAACTAAACTAACCCACAAAACACTCTGAGTAGAGATCAGATTCATGGATATTCAAACAAAGGCAAATATAACGCCAGGTACATGGCAACATGGATTCCCTTTTCTCTTGTATTATTACCAATGCCTACATCATCATCAGATCTGGTATACTGTTTACAGAATCCTCTCTCCGCTCCACATAACTCCATCTACTTGTGTTCTCTTCTCCCACTTTTTTCCCTTTCTTTTTCTTATTCTCTCTCTCTCTCTCTCCCCTTTATAATCCTTCCAAATTTGCCACCAACTCCGGGAATCAATACATTTAAGTATTGCAAATGATATTACAATGTGCTGTTTTTTAATGTTGAAGAGAATATTATGCCATCATGACTTATTGCCGCTATCTACGCAACTTTTGTTCCTTCTTCTATTGTCTAATCTATATATATACCCTTTTTCAATAACAAAAACAATATCCCCAGTGAGCAAATAATAAAGTATAAATGTTGGTAATTGTATATGCATAAGTTATATGTGTTCAATTTTAGCATAAATTTCACCAAAAAAGAAAGAGTGTCTGAATCCGGGTATAATTCCTAACCCTAGGCATGTACTTAAAATCCTAGAAACCACGAGGCCATTGCTTCTCTTTCTTTCTTTAAACTGAAGTTTGATGGGAACAACATCAGTTTGACTTTGATAGCTTTGCAGGGGCAGGGGACTAAGCTAGTTCGTATACCAAAGGAATTTAAGGGATACCAAACAAACTATTTTCCATAAAGGGCTAAAGGATATTGAAGATTGTTTTTAATGATTCGAGGGGCTTTTCCATGTGATGGGTCTTTGTGTTCCACGATGCATGTGACAGTGAAAGAGAGAGGGAGTTGTTTGTGTTTCAAAAAAAAGAATACAAGAGAGGAAAGTGAGATTGCTTGCTTTGGCTTCTACGAAGTTCTACATCTGTGTAAGAGGGTTTTAAAGTGATTGGTTGGGCTTTGTCTTCATTATGGTCATGAGTTGGATAGGCTTGGCCTTAGCTTAATAACAACAAGGGTCGAGGGTCTGATAAGTACAGAGAGGGTTTCAGTACTGAAAGTTACTTAATTTTTATATTTTTGGAAGGGGGCAGTGGGCAGAGAAGTGCACATGGGCCTGAAATGTCGTTTCTCAGTTCCTTTTTAAAGGAGTTTGTTAATATAGAATTGATCAGAGATGAGGCGGGAATGGGGAATTGGAAGTTATTCTCAGTATGCACCTGCCCTGGTTTTCTCTCTGTTTAGAGCATTTTTGTAATACCAAATTATTGTTTAAAGAATGAGAATTTTGAAGAATAAAATCCAGAGTAATTGGGTTGGTTGTTTGGAAGTAGCGGTTGTTTATTATTGTTTTGACAACTAAGGGTATATTTGCATGGGAAGGAGTTCCTTTCTTCACGAGCCATCTTTTTTCTCTCTGAAGATTTAAAGCTAGCCTTCACATCCGTTGCCTTCTCATCTCTGTTCAACTATTAATATTCAAATTAATTCATTTGCATGTTCAAGACTGAATCCCACTTTCAAAACTATATATTTTTTTAACTAGACATCAATCTCATAAATCATACAAAGTTTTAATTTTCAATCACTCTTTTATGTCTAAGCATTTGGTTCAGTACAGGATTGCTTACTAAACGAGTAAGATTTGAATGTCTCTTTCACCACAAAAAAAAAAAATAATTAGAAGCTTTTGGGAGAGAAAATATTAATCGCCTCCCATGATGTTTATAGCAAAACAAGTATTGGTTTTGCATGATGGATAAGGGATTAATGGTGTAAATTTGTATTATCTAATTATTGAAGAAAATTGAATTTTTGCATCCGTAGGTAAACTTTTTAACAAAATTAATGGATTTATATTTACCACACCTACTTATTTTTTTTTTAAAAAAAAACATAATTCATATATGAAAACTAAAAAAGTTGTACAAATGACATATCAAATTTATTATCATGAACGATCCAACGACATACTTGGTACGACATTATGACTTTACCTTGGCTTTGCGCCCACAAACACAGTGCAAGAAGTGAACACCCTCTTTACAAGAACACAATGAAACTGTCCCTCCCATCAAAACCTGTACAACTCATTCCCCTGGATCACATTGTTATCTGTCATAAACAAGTCATGCACCCCCAACGTTTGGTCCTACGCTTAAGATCCAACGATGAAACACTATCAAAGTTTAAAGAACAAATTATGCATCCAATAATTATAGACCAAACTGACTGGACTCCATATTGCCCTCTTATCAAAACCATTGTCCGCTTCTCCTTACTCCATTTGGTCTTGAAAATATCTTGTTGGGCTTGCTTTGTGAAGAAACAGGGCCTGGCATCTGAAATGCAGTTACTATTGGGATTTACCGACTTTGATTTGTTAATTCTTTTCATGTCCGATCATTAGCTAATCTGTAGAATTAACCAACATGACACTTAATAGTAAATTTAATTGTCCAATAAACTATAGTCAAACCATTACAATACGAAGCCTGCAGGTTGCACCCCCCAGCATTCACCTTCGAACCCATATTCCAAAGTATGAGAAAATGTATTATAGTATTACTTATTCACCAAAACAAGGCATTTTGTTAAGGAATCTCAACTAAAAAAGAATCAAACTGCCAAACAGCACTTTGACTATGCAAAAAGAAATTGGCTTCTGGTAGCAAGTTCTAAGCTAAAAAGATAAAATTACTCGAAGACTTGCATAACTGAACTAGGACATTGATTCTTATACTTATTCTCACAGTCCTGACCATATACATCAATGGAGAGGATTAGGTAGTAATTTGTAGTTAAGGAGGCCAGAGATGTTTACGACCAAATATCTCCCATTGTTAAGTTGGTGGAGCAACTAAGCTAAGAGAAGAAATTGAGGCACACTGCTTGGATTGAAAAGAAGGAAAGCATGTGTCCGAAATGATCATATATAAAAACTTGTACTTATTTTTCTTTCAGGTTACAAGTAGGATTCAGACATGTTCAAATCTGGAACCAAGCAGTGATCGGATAGGAGAGTATAGCGAGGTCGATCAGGTTGATCAACATATGAGAGAGGCTACTTGGGTGTGGTTGGTCAGGTTGAAAAACTACCACTAGACCTCCGAATTCAGACTAGATTATTTACTTGATGATGAAATAGTAGGTTGCTGCATGTATTCGGCCCTGCTTTCAAAGCCCAACACTCAGCCATAGCAACTATTTTTGGTGGAATCAATGTTTCTAATTAGATGGTGGGTGCATGATGTATACTCAGATGCATCGCATGAGCAACAGACTTAATAATTATCGGTGTTTATTATGATTTTTGTTTTAATTTTTTTGAGTAAAAAATAATATTTAAAAAAATCTCTAAACTATTCAAAAAAATTTAAATAAATTTTCATTTTTTTATTATTTTTAATTAAATCTCTATATTTTTATATCATTCGTCATTTTATATCATGTGATTTTTGACATAATATATCATAATGAATGATAACCTAACATTCTGATGTAGCATAATGACATGCTTTCATTTTTCATATTTATATAAAATAATAAGTGACATTTTAATTTATGTCAATTAGTTAACTATTAATTATAAAAGTTTATTTAATTTAAGATAAAAATATCAAAACTTGATTAAACATAATAGAAGAGTAAGGATTTAGTTGAATTTTTTAAAATAATTCAAAGATTTTTTTAAATATTATATCAAAAAATTTTATTAACATCATAAACTAGTACAACACTAACATTTCAAATAAAAAATCCGTCACTCTCTGAAAGACGTACAAAAAAAATTAGAAGCTCATTTAATAGTAATTAAATGAAGCATTCCAAATGTAAATTTAAGAAAAGTGTCTTTGTCAAAGTGGTGCTGAGTCATGGCACCATGCCAAATGCTTAGCCTTTTTGATTCAAAATCTGCCACATCATGGAGCTGTTAATAGACGGTGGAGTCGGACCTATAAATATTAAAACCATCAAAAGCTAAAACCCATCCAAATGTCAAAATCATTTATGGCTCTAATCTCATGCCTAATTATTGTTTAATAGTAATTTGTATTTATGATCCAAATTAAGTGTTCTACCGTACCACCCAATTCAATCTTCATAATTATAACCTTTGGCTCTACCTCCACGTTTCAACTCTTGCCAAGTACTTAGTGCTTTAAGATCTAATAAAACTATCTCTCAATTCACGAACAATTCGAGAAACTTAATGAATTTGCTATCTATTCACTGGAATAATCTTTAAGTTTTGATATGTAAAATGAATTTCTTCAACTTTTATGAAATAGTATGAGGATTCGAAACCCGCATCCAACCAAATTAGCTAATCCAATTAATGTATGACTTGATGTACAAAATAGGTAGGATTATAGATACAGAGTTCGAAAAGGTAATTAGATATAATTAGCACATTTAGGAGATTTAATATAAATTGATTCATGATGTCAACTAGTGCCACCTTGGGTTTAATTTGATCAAGAAGGAAGGTATGGCGTACTGCTATTTTCATATACTATAGTTAAATCTCAAACTCAAACCCTAATATATGCTCTCTCTTCTGTTCCAAGAAAGAAAATTAAGATGGTATACCAACTGCAACTGCCAAATACTATAACTGGTTTCTCACTATGTAAACTATCTAAAAAATCAAAACAAAAAGATTAATTGGTACATTAATTAAGGTAGTGTTTGATATATTCATTATCGAATATGTTCTGCTAATTGTGTGGTTAGTATGAACTTAATGGAAGAAGAGAGGGAGGGAATCTCTACCCTACATGGAAAGAGACCAGTTTAGTTAGGATTGAAACAAAATTAATATATAAATCATCAAAAGTCAACGTTTGTGAATCTTGGTCAGGCAAAAAAAAAAAAAGAAAAGTAGTTAAAGGTGAAAAGGAACTGATGAGTTAAAGACAAGTGTAGATATATAGCAATTCGATCGGCTGTGCCAGGCAGGAACGTGATGATGCAAATTAACTCGTCAGATAAAGAAACATCTGCTACAAAGAACTAACAAAGAGACAGTGATGCAGACCTGTCTTCAGAGGCGGCCAAAAGAATTACCTAAGGTTTGAGTTTTCTGATAGTGTTCTGTTGAATCACGTACTTACCCCAAAGATAAAATAATTAGCATTTAAGGGATTTAATTGTTTGTTTTGAATCCGAACACTAGGATGAGGCCAAAGCCTATGGTAGGTATTGCCCATTGAGGGATCTGCAGCACTTGTCATCAGTGCTGCATGATCATGTATAGAATATTAAGGTCAATTTGAATAAGATAAACAAGAAATAAGGGAAAGAAATGAATTAGTTAATTAAGAGGAGTGAAAATTCCACAGGGCATATCTGAAAGCTGCGACAGTAGTGTGAATTTGATGTTTGTGTTCTTCCAAAAACGTCTGCTTTGAATGGAAAAAAGTTACGTTAATCAATTTCAGATGGGTTTATCTTGACTCAATCAGAATTGGTTTTTGAGTCTGATTTGTTCCAAGTTTATGTTCAAGCTATGTAATTAGAGTTTACGTCCTAAGGCCACGCTTTAAGTAACTTCTATTTTAAGTTACTGATTCTCTTGTCATCAAACATATAAAAAGTTTCTGACAGAGTCGTATGTTTTGGTAATCAAAATTCAAAAACGTGCTGGAATTATTAATCAATTTCTAATCTCATTCTACTCCTTCTCTGACCATTTATAAAGGATATTTCGGTCTGTTTCATTCGTTATTCCATATAAAAATTTGATGTTCATGCATGAAAGTAATCATCAGGCCTGCCCGGAGCTTAAGTCCCTAAATAAAAACATCACTCATAACCCGTCTAGTTGACTCTGTTTGAGCCACCTAGCTAGCTCCACTCTTTCTTTCATCTCTATTCTCTCTCTCTCTCAAGCTTGGAAATGGAGACAAAACACCCAAAAGGAGAAAAGTCCGACCAAATAGTTTGGAGCTTGGAGGACCTTCCAGGCCAAGCCAAGTCTTATACATGTTCCTTCTGCAAAAAGGGCTTCTCAAGCGCACAAGCGCTGGGAGGTCACATGAACATCCACAGAAAAGACAGGGCCAAGCTCAGAGAATCCTCCGAGGAAAACATACTTTCTTTGGACATGTTAAAGACGATCAATCCACCTGACGATCATTCCCAGGTTTCTGAAATTGTACTAGAATCCAGTGAAGAGAAAAGTTCGAGTCCTAGAAGACCAAGCAAACTTTCCAGGGAAGATGAAGGTGGCAGTGCCAGTGCCAGTGCCAGTGTCAGTCCTGGGGGCAAAGATGCTATCAAGACCAGCGGCGAAAGTGAAAAGGAGAGTTTGCGGCTGATTCATGGTTCGACATCTCAGATTGTATTGGATCTCGAGCTACGGTTAGGGCCCGACCCTGATCAGAATCAGACGAAAAAGAGTACCAGAGAGTGCTTTTGAAATTTATGGTGAAGATGGTGTTTGACATCCAAATAAAAAGGTTTTTGCTTTCTCTTCTCTCTCTCTCTCACGAATTTCTTCCATTGAAGGGTAGTACCAACTCCCAAAGAAGTGTATGTATGCTGCTTTCAATATTCTCCACTGTTTATCTCTTGTATAAAAGAAGATTAAATTTTGATTTCTTTCAACAAGTTAATCATAATCCTATCCTGGGGACTGGCTGATTTCATGATCTGATCCTTGTACTTGTTGATCACCATACTGGGATATATGAGTAAAAAGTTAAGCTAAACTTGCAAAACTCTTCTGACAAGATACAAGAATTTGAAGATATGAGATTCATTGCTTCCAGGAAGCTGATCATATAATAGATCAATTCTACAAGCTCCTTATTCATAGTTTTGCCTTATAATGAACATGATTTAGTTGCAATTTAAGGCTTTTCAACACCCAAATTAAATGTTTGTTGAATTGAATCATCAACATTATAGGCAAAACGTTAAAAAAGAAATTGAGAAATTGGCAATTCTTTTCCCATATTAAGTGAAGCAAATTAATAAAGGCTCATAATGGTATTCCTCCCATCAACATTCTCTTCCTCTATTCTAAAATTAATTAGTTTGTATCAAGGCTAGCTTCCCTAAGATAAAAAAGAGTAAGATTTTTCTTGATTATAATGGAAACATATAGGAGCATGCTTCTTCTTTTTTTCTCCTCATTTTCTTTTATAGCTTGGGAATTAATTACCTTATGCTTCTATCAATGGCAAATCCATATCACTCGATGATATCATGCTCTTATCAATGGCAAAGAGTTTTATAATTTCAAAATGCATGTACTTTGATCAATTATTATTATTATTATTATTATATAAAAGTACCAACTCTAAAAATACAAGTAGCTAACTAAGTATATTTCTTTGAAAATTTATAAAATTAATTATAAAATATAAGAATGTTCATTAAATTTTATATTTTTTTACTAACATTTAAGTCCTTGTATTAAAGTAAAATTTTCTTATTAAATTAAACATTGGTTAAATTTTATTTATCTATTTTCTTATTAATCTTGATCTCTTTATTACACTCAATTGTTTAAATAAAATTTAAATTTAGCTATAACCAAAGCTAACTTCATATATTCGAATTGAAGTAGATAAAAAAAATTTTGTTTTCCCCCCCTTTTTTCCCCTTTTTGTGAATGTTTATTTTTTTTATCATTTAATTCCCTTTTGCTATTAACTTTGAATAATTATTTTTCTCTTTATCATTTTTTTTGAAGGATCCTTCAAGAGTTTTTCATTACTATCTAATCTGTTTGCATGGTTAAATTAATATATCATATGCTATAAATAAAAGTTTGATGTTGATGACAATCTTAAGGTAATTAGTTAATAACTATGAATGAATATTTTATGTCTTAGGAAAATAATTGGTTTTTGTAGAAGTTTCATTAAAAAAATTCAAAACAAGCAATGAAATCTAAATAATTAAATAAACTTAGCTTTCATATACTAAAGATAAAAACAACTAAAATATAGTTTAAATTTTTTTTTGAATTTATTACCCAACACAATATAGATAGCAATTTATCTTATCTCTTATGATAATAATTTAACTTCATTTTTAGGTCTCATAAAATAAAAAAAAATTAAATAGAGCAATAAATTGACTTGGTTGTACATAATTAAAATAATTTAACAAAACAAGGAAATCATAGAATTAAGAAAGTCATCTAATGAATAAGGATTTTATGTAATTGATAGAATATGTATATTATTTAATAATCAATCAAAAAGTAATAATAAATTAAAAATAGTGATAAGCAATCAACATTTCACTAAGAAAAATCAATTATGATTTAATGATAAGTAAACAAAAAAGTTACTCTATGTTGTAATTTTTCTTACTAATATTAAAATTAATTTACATATACGCTTTATGGAAATTAAGCTATAATTTAACGAACATGATAAAAATTTTCCAATATTCATAATACTTCTCTAGTATATATATAATAATCTAAATAGAATGCCAATATTATAAATAGATCTAGACTAAGAAAATGATAATGTATTAAAGTTAATTGTTAAATGAATTTAATATCAACAACCACATGGTGCATTGTATGTTAACTCACATTCCTATCCAAAGGAAATTAGGATAACAAAAAATTTTCAAACAACTTGTACTTAAAGTACATAGAACTATATATTAAATTAAATGGTATTAAATATAATTAGCTGAAGTTGACTACCCTAAACCCCTTTTTTTTTCTTTATTTTTTCATCAAATACTCTTTTTGTCAGCATGAGATTGCCTCCAATAAATTAAACATTAGCTCGGGAAAGGAAAGATGTTGAGGAAGATTATTAAAAAAACAAAGGTCAAGACACTAGAAGAATAAGTCAACTAGAAAGAACAAAATTTATATATCATTAGGTAGCAATTTTTTTATTAAGAGACTAGAACAATAGTTATTGCTATATACATGATCCCGCCAATAAGTTATTTAGTAGAATATAAGATCTGAAAATTCATGTTCGCGTGTTTTATCTTATTGTGTAAATATAAAATATTAAAAGGTAGTATGATAAATGTGAATATGATATGATTAATTAAACATATAAAGTTCATAATTACGTACAAGAATATGTTTATTAAACAAATCAGGTTAAATTTTATACTACCCGATCAATAACTTGTTTAAACGATTAATATGATTAAATTAATTTTTTTGTTAATAATTTAATTTTTAACATACATACAAATAAAATATAACTCCATAATTGAAATTTAAAACAAATAATTATAAAAAAATTATAGTAGAAAATTAACATCTATCAAGCATGTGAAACATCCATCAATATCAGCAAAAGCCTAATAAAATCCAACATCAAACATCAACATAAGAGGATCATAATAGAATCCAAATAATATCCATAATCCGTCAGCAAAATAAAATACCAGATATCAAAATTGAAGATTTCCTAGGCATTATCCTATATCGTTCTTGTGTTATAGAATTTATTTATAAAATAGAAATAATATATTAATAAAATTAAATAAAATTTATATGAGTTACTTATATAAGACGGATAAACAGATAAACATGATAACATGATTAACTAAATTGGTAAATGAGATATATGTGCTGGCAAGATAATACAAATAACTAAATAAATTGATATGTTTAAGACACAAAACTGTCATGTATTTAAAATATCAATATAATTAATACATAAAATATAATTCCGTGGGACCTATACTTGTTTAATTTCGCATCATGCGTTGCCAAAGTCTATAGAATATCGAGCATCATAAAGTACAAATGACCTAGTAAAGATCAAGTGCCATCTCCCACCAAGCCCAAGGATTCGGTGGTAGCCATCCTTTGGTGTTCTGTCTCAAAAACAGGGGAAGCGAAGCTCAAATCATGCTATCCCTGAAAGGAAAGTTGTGGCATCTTGATTGTAATTCACGTGAAAGAGAGTTAACGAGACGTGATCCAAATGGGAACCGATCGGGCTAAAGCTCCCAAGGCATGAGCCTCTCTCTGCAATACTGAATCGATTGGATGGATTTGAATTCCTTCCTAAATAGAAAAAAGAGGGAACAAATAAGAAGCTGAGAGAGAGAGAAGACCCTCTGGTGCCCTTTAAAGTTCAATTTCCTGGCTACGTTAAAAGGATAACGAAATCACCCAACTCAAATTTGAAAGGAATCATCGGAGACTTTCAGGGGATTTGGCAAAGTCTTAACTTGTTCTTCGGTTTCGGAAACTCGACACTTTTCTTCTCTACTTATTTGGTTCTTTGCAGGAAAGAAAGCATGTCATCTACTAGAGAGACAATGGTGGACCCGTTAAAAACATGGAAGTTCCTTGTTTGGCCGACGATCACAATCAAACCCATTGGTTCATACTTTTTCTTATTAAAAACAATTCTAGCTAGTTTCTTAGTTGCTTCAATCTCTCTGTCTGTGTACTTTGTTTTCTCTAGCCAACCCCAGTGGCCCCCTTCTCCCAACTGCAATAACCCTGTCATTATTTCCGATCACCAAAAGTTTATTACCAAGAACATTTCCAGTCAGACTTATGAAAGGACCAATTTGTTCCACATCCAGTTTGGCATCGGTGGCTCAGCCAAGACCTGGAACGAGCGTCGCCGTTACTGCGAACTGTGGTGGAGACCTAACGTTACCCGCGGGTTTGTTTGGCTGGATGAGAAGCCTCCGAATGATGAAAAGTTGCCACCGACGTCCCCTCCGTATAAAATCTCCCAGGACACTTCCAGGTTCAAGTACACAAGCTGGTACGGCTCACGCTCAGCTGTTCGGATAGCCCGTATAGTCAAGGAAAGCTTCGAGCTTGGATTGGATAACGTTAGGTGGTTCGTGATGGGAGATGATGACACGGTATTTTTCCTGGGAAATTTGGTCACTGTTTTAAACAAATATGATCATAATCAAATGTATTACATTGGTGGAAATTCTGAGAGCGTTGAGCAAGATGTGATACACTCTTATACCATGGCCTACGGTGGCGGTGGATTTGCAATAAGCTACCCTTTAGCAGCTGAGCTTGTTAAGGTTTTAGATGGCTGCATTGATCGATACGCGTCGTTCTATGGGTCCGATCAAAAAGTTCAGGGTTGCATGAGCGAGATTGGTATTCCTGTCACTAAAGAGCTTGGTTTCCATCAGGTTAACGTTAATCCTCATTATTCTGTCATGAAAGTAATTGTTAACTGAGTAATTAACTTGTTTATAATTACAGGTTGATATTCGAGGGAACCCTTATGGTTTACTGGCGGCACATCCTCTGGCGCCATTGGTGTCCCTTCACCATCTAGACTACATTCAATCCATTTTTCCAGGAAGGACCCAGATTTATTCAATCAAGAAGCTACTTAGTGCTTATGAAAAGGATCCGAGTCGGGCCCTACAGCATAGTTTCTGTTATGATTTGAAGCGTAATTGGTCTGTTTCAGTGTCTTGGGGCTACACTG